CAATTTCAAGCCAGTTCCTCCTATTTTTTTCAGGTTATGAGCCCGTTCTGTGGTATCTACTGCGACACCATGCATGCGGCCGCTCCTCCATTATATGTGGGTTCAACATCATCACAAGCAACCGCCATCATCTGCAGCTCCTCCGCTCCTTATTTCAATTGCTCCCCGTCGTCCTACACCTTCCTCTCCAGCTCCTCCACGCCTTACTCCAATGCTTCCCGTCATCCTACACCTTCATCTCCAGCCCCTCCCCTCCTTACTCCGATTGTTTCAACCATCCTACACCTTCATCTAGCTCCTCCACTCCTTACTCCGAATTGCTTCCGGTCATCATACACCTTGAGCTCCAGCTCCTCCACTGCTTTCACCAGCTATTGTCCTGCAACTTACATCTTCATCTCCGGCCCCTCCACCCCTTTCTCCCACTGCTTCTTGTCAAACTACGCCTTTGTCTACAGCCCCTCCACTACATTCGCAATGTGTTGGCATGCAGCCTACAGCTTCATCTCCAGCTCCTCCCTCCCTATCTCCCCTTCATCCTACACCTTCATCTCCAGGTCTGACACCGCATTTAGAGTCTCCTCTTCCCCAGAGTGTTACCCCTGCACCCTCCCTTCACGCAGCTACCCCTTTTGCAAGTCCATCCAACTCCACATTTTCAGCTTCTTCTTCAAGTACACTGACCGCACAACTTCCTCCAATAACCCAGGCCACCCAGTTGCGCGAAGATTCGTTGGTGAAAAACAGGTAAGCAAAAGAGGGAAACATAGCGTACTAATTTATAGAATTCCAGGTACTACACGTTCATTCACGTTCTACAGATCATGGGCGAACAAAAAATGCGAGAAGTACGGCTGCCTCCACTGTTTGAAAGAAAGAAGAAAACGAGGAGAGCAAGCAACGGGCGAATTTATCGAGGTAGATTTAGAAGCCCAACGGAATCCTGATAACCCAAATCATCAAACTATCTATTTCAGGTAATTGGGAACGAATTTTTAAGCGACCCGTGTAGAATGGACCACGAATGCACTTTTGCGAAGTATGCCGTAGAAATTGGAAACAGACATGTATACAAGGTAAGAATTGGTACGGATATTAATAGTGATTATTATTTACAAGCAACATTTTTCAGGAGCTGCAAAGCATTCGAAGAGATCCTGCCTGCGCGGAGAAGAAGCCTGTGAAAGTTTATCTTCGATATGGTGGCGGCACCGTTTGAAACAGACGATGGTAACACGTTCGGTATTCGATCTTTTTCCCATTTATTTAATCTTGTCCTTTACAGCAGAAATGGAAGATTCAATTCAGAGCCGCGGTTCGCCGCTCGGGATATCACTCTAGACGGATACCCATCTCAAGGTATACAAGCTATGGATTAATTCTAGTGCTGCTCTTAGTTCATACAAGTTAAGAAGCTTGGCCGTATGGAAAAACAGAGCTGTCACTATGGATCATGTGCCTTTGGAGTTCAGCACTCTGCGCGATGGATCCACGTTTCTCCACTACCAAGCGCCTGGGTTCCACATCTATTACTCTTTGGCGACCATCCAGGTTAGAAACCATGAGATGTTTTGAGAACTACGTTCATTATGACAATTACAGAAAGCGTGCGAAGCCGGTCTGCACAGTATAGTTGCGGATGGAATGCACTCGTTGCATCCCAGATCGCTGGGATGTCATGCGCAGTTATATTGCGTGCATGGTGTATGTTCTCAAGGGATCGAGGTGCCGCTTATGTACTGCATCACTGCGAAGAAGACGGAGGAAGTCTACTTGAAAGTGTTCGGTCATCTGAAGAACAACATCACAGGTGATGCCCCTCGTCGGGTCATTCTCGACTTTGAAAAAGCAGCTTCTCGGAAAATCTTTCCTAGGGCCTCTGTGGAAGGCTGCGCCTTCCACCTAGCTCAAGCTTGGAATCGTAGAAGGGATGCTCTTGGGCTCAGACGGTACATGCAAGGAATGGAAAGGGACACACGAATCGCGGAATGGTGGGATACCCTCAAAGGTACATTAAATGTTTAGCTCCGGTTAGCACTTGAAGCCCCCCGCAAGGTCTTTTTTTCAGGTACAGTGTTTTTACCACTTTCGCTGATGTCGCAAGTGAGGGCTCTACGAAAGCCCCAGATTCCAAGGGAGCACAGCGCCTACAAGAAGTGCGAAGAGTTTTTGAAGTATCTGCGTGAAATCTGGTTTCAAGGACCGTTCAAGGACATGTGGTGTAAGTGGAAGCTGGAAGAACTTCGAACTACAAATCTGGCCGAGGCTTTCCACAGGTAATAAACTAGGCATACTATCGCAATAATACGCTGTAAAGACTTTTTCAGGCGTCTCAAGGTGATCATTTATGTCGAACATCCACCGCTTAGCGTGCTTATTGAAGCTCTTCGCAAGATCAACTATGAAGCGCGTGCAAGCCTTAAACGTCTTCAGCAGGTTGCAATTTGATCATGTCGCTGTAAATAATTATTGTAAACACATTTTTCATAGGATCCGAGCCGAGAACGAGTTCTGCGGAGGCGAGATCAAGAAAGAAGAGTAAAAGTTGCAGAAGAAATGAAAAGTGGGTATTATAGAGGAAAGAATCATATAGATACAAACTAGCATTCTTTGTTTCAGATTTGACGCATGCTACCAAAATGGGGCGACACGAGAAGAAGTGGAGCA